TGTTATTCTCACTTATCGTTAACACCACAGTTTTGATGTCTGTTCTTCTCCTCACACTTGACATGCCATTTGTGTGACCTGGACCTTAAATGTTTTTTCCAGTTTTCTTCACCAAGAATAATGCGGTTGCCACAGATCTCACACACATGCCTTGCATGCCGATCATCTTGGATGATCACCCTGGGGAGAGGGTTGATAAGTGGATTTTCCCCTTTTATCAATTTATCTAAAATATCTAATGCAGTTTTAAGAACATTGCCCTCCCATTTCTCAAGATCAGTTGCATCTAGTCCATAAACATCAGGTGCAGAGATACTTGGTCTTGCCAAGAAGCGGTTTCTCACCCATGTTATTTGCTTTTTTGCATACCTACGTGTGACTGTCCTCATGTTTTCGACACCTGTTGTCAAAAGTTCTTTGTCCTCTTTGGATGCACTGCTTTTATCAAACTTTTTTCCTTCCTGTTTGACAAGAAACTCATGAAATTCTTTGAAACCAATGGACTGAAATATACCTTCTGTGTATTTTGTGTCGACATCCTTTCTCTCCAACACGTGGTTGTATTCACGATGAAAGTCCAAGAGTTCTTCAATTAAGCCTCTATCCAACATTTCATTGACTCTACTATCAAGCCTCTCATTAAGGATCTCTCTCTGACACTGTAGCCAAAATACACACATGTGTTTATATCTCTGGGGTCCACCATAAACACTTCCCCCTAGTCTCTGTTGCTGTTCTTGCAGAATCTTACTGTGAGGCCTGCCGAGTTGTTCATATACCTGAAGACTTCGTGCAATTTTCCGGGAATCACTTGGATGTAGACGATCTGCCATGGCTGGATCAACCTCCCTGAGCCTTTCATAGAGGCTTGTCTTTGAGCTTGACTCCTTATTCCGTTCTAAATGTCCTGGCATTTCTTCAGATTGGCTAGTTCCTTTAGCTGTCTCTCCACACGCCACTACCGTCTCACCAAGTGCATCATTAGAGTTTTCAACTTCTTTACTTTGGATCTCTTTTCGCTGCTTGATACCTTTTGTGCGTTTTTCTGATTCATCTCCGCTACTAGACGAACTAGTGCTTCTATCTTCGTCAATCAAGATATCCCATAAGACAGATTCGATGTAATAGTTTGTGCCGCCAACGATTATCGGAATTTTTCCTCTCGTTTTGATGTCTTCGATCAAAGGTAAGGCCATATTTCGGAATTCCACGACAGAGAATTCTTTCAGCGGCGAAACAAAATCGATCAAGTGGTGAGGGCATTGTGAGAGTTCCTCAGCAGTCACCTTGTTCGTTATAATGTCCAAGCCTTTGTAAACTTGCATAGAGTCAGCGCTGAGGATTTCTCCACCTAGTCTTTTACCTATTTCGATGGCTAGCTTGGATTTTCCAGTACCAGTGGAGCCTAGAATTACCACAAGAGGCAAACGAATGTTTCCCATGGCGGCCGCCATTTTGGCTTAGACCGAGAAGAGTCTGGATGTGAGGTTAAAAATATTCAGCCTCGTTCCAGTATCTCTATTCCTGGGAACGAGGTGCAAAAAAACAATTATTATTGACATGACGTAACTATTACTTGGTGTCTGTAAAAGTCAAATATTCCAGAGTATATCTAGTCTACAGAATTTCACTGTAAGTGCGCGTTCAACCTCAGAAAAACTGGGCAGCTATATGGGGAGGTTTTAAAGTATTTGCACAATTAGCCAATTAGATTACCGCAGAGCCCATGACCCTAATTCCAAAACATTTTTATCGAAAAAGCCTAAAAACCAGCCGTAAAACTTCGATAATGAGCCCTCGAGTGAAATTAAACAAGCAGGGCTCGAGGTTAATGCTTTAACAACAGTACTTGTCTCTTGGCTAATGGCATATCAGATTGTCTTAACCAAAACAATTGCCAACTCGCGAGATTGTCTATTGCTCAGATGCATGCTAGTAAAGTTTGTTTCAGTGCCTTAAGAGCTCACAGGTTCTGGAACTGACACTGCATAAGACTGTTGGTAATGGAGCCAGTTCAAAACTAAAAAGTGAGGTCTAGCTTTTGTCATTCTTACTGTGTTCAGCTTGTACATTTGTAGTCACAAATTACAACTTTGCCAAGTCTGATTTTCATCAGATACTAGCCAGAGCCTAGAAGAAATACAAAATAAATTACAGGCCAAATGTGGAGTTTTACTAGTCTGTGGCTAGTTGGCTCCTGCAAGTTAGTCTCGAGCTCTGAC